GGCAATGGTTCAGAGCCCATGCAATGGTCCAGAGACGATGAAGAACCAGAGGCCAACACTTTGAAAACACACAAATCTGGGCATAACACTAAATAACCTCAAAATATGAGATATTAATTTCTAGAAAAACATCGAAATATTCGTTCTATTTTAGTGATAAAACCACCCAAAACACGATTCCAAACCGGATATAACGGATATTTACTTACAACCCAAATTAAGTAGCCAAAAGAATACGGGACAAGACTATATATATGTAAGCTAATATTTACCCAAAAGCAAGATCGAAATCTTCGAGATCCCCGGTAAATCTTCAAGTCAAACAACGGAATCTTTCTTTTTGTCCGTCTTCTTTCCTGAGAGAGGTTGCCACTTAAATGGTAAGCCAACGCTTAGTGAGTTAAATAGTTAGATATTACATATCAATATCACGCATGTTTATAAACACACATAATAAACTCTTATCAACAAAAGAGTTCAAGCCATCATCCAGATGCAACCCGAGACTTACAAAAAAYCGAGTGAACAATTACGTACCGGATGCTAAGATCATAGGATTCCATATTCAAATCACCATAGTATACCATATCTTTGAGGCTCAATACAACAAGGAGACAGTATCAACAACCAAATATATTCAACAACGTTAGAATACCAATAAATATCAAGAGCCAAGAGACCGAATCGGTATACATAACGAGGACTGTGCATCCCCCCGTCCTTCACCTTCCGGGCTCATGCCAGAGTCCGAGTCGGAATGATACATCACGGGAAACCTCGCACTGCCCGCCTTCCTCTACCGGTATGTACCAAGGTTCCCTACTCATTGCTCTTCCTCCTTTCTGAGCAACGAGTATTCACAACCGTAGAAAGTCTCACCCGTCCAACACGGGATCTTGACTTCGCCATAAACTTCCGGCGTGCCACACGAAGTAGTACCCGTACTATGACGTACAACACAAGGAACAAAACAAACAAGTCCGGATCCGGAAAGCAGACCAATGTACCGAGATAGTAATATGGAATTGACTCAAGAGACGGAATCAAAGACAAATCAAGATCGTGTGACTCCATTCAAGATCAAAACATTCATATGAAAATATATATGTTCAAATCAATATGTAACAATTAACTAAATAACTCACGGGGCAACCGTATAATACCGAAAAGCTCCGAATTGAGCTCACAAAGCAAGTCCAATCTACCACACTTAGATTGCTTCCAAAGTATCAAAACATGTCTTAATTACCCCCTGGAGTAAATGTACAAAATCTCATAAGCAACCAATATAAGAAACTCGTGATATACACATATCCTATTTGAACATTTTACCCAAATTTCTATGTAAAACTGCTGCATGCAGAACTATTTTGCCCATTTTAAGCTCAAAATCATGCCTTGATCATAAAATAAGAAATAAACTAGACTCAAATATCTAACTAAGGAAATTGGCCTCACCTGATTTGGATTTTTCTACGATTTTCTACATATTTTCAAAGTCTGCACACTTTCAAAGCATTCAAAAGTCGAAATTCTCATTTTCATACATTTTTCTCAAACCATTTCGATTCCAAACCATTCCAACTTTTGAATCTCAACTTAATATAACATATTTGACATAAACAACCAAAATCTAAACAACCAAAATCCAACCTTTATTTTATCATTTACATTATCTCCCAAATCATTGACTTAATCAAGTCAAAGTTCATATGATGAGCATAAATCTCGATAATCTCTTGAATCTAATGATCATTTCATGTCAAAAACACTAAAATGCACTCATTTTATACACTTAAGATCAAACCCATATGAAACCCTAACTTTATCTCAACATGCAATCCATAAAACAAGGATATCAACCAAGAATAAGTGCAAAGAATGAATTATACCTTACTTGATGATCAAATCCTTCAAAGATCTTGTAGTTCTTCTTTGATTTGAGTTGAATCAAGCCTATGTGTGTGAAAAWYGCACCTCTAGTGTGTGTGTGAGTTCTGGACTTAGATGATATGAAAAATGGGCCAAAACTCCAATTTATAATGCTAAAACTCGAGTTGGGTCGGGTTGGCCCGGCTAGGAACCCATTTTGACCATCAACACTTAAAATATTCATAACTTTTCGCTCGGACCTCCGTTTTCTATGAGGTTTTCGCCTACACGATCATAAAGAGATAATCTATAACATCCAATAAAAATATTCCAAAAAATATCTCCCAAGAAAATCAATTTTACGTATCCATTTGACGTGATATTTTCCACATCCTGTAATATATTCTTAAGAAATAAAATTCTAAAACTTCAAACCTAAACTCCCACTAAATCATAAGCTCTCTTTAACCCAATAACTAAATATACTAAGCAAATAATTGGGCATAGAAGAAATTGGATGTTACACCATCGAGCCACAAACTCATGCTTTCACCCTAAACGACTCTTCCTCGTTATCAGCGTAGGCTTTTAAAAGTAGTATTGATAGGTTGAGGAGTGTGCAAAAAAAGTTGGAAAATGGTTCAAGAAAAGAAATGTGCCAAATTGCCAGGCATATTCTTGATGTTTGGATTAGGGTCACGAACTTGTGCACCTTTTAAGTTTCTGACATAGAGTACTTTTACGAAGGCTAATTTCTGACTTTTCTAAACAAGTAGTTTCATGAACAATAACATGATGTCATCAGGGACGTCCATGTCCATTCAAATAGAATGTCACTCTTTTAAAGGCTTGGATTGATGGCTTATTTGAATTAATATCTTTAGACATTATTTGAACAATATTTATGGGATCTCAAGCTTTTTTTCCTCAATATTTCAACATCAAGTATACTCATTCAAGAAACATTTGATTGAGGAATTACTTGTATACGTACATTTGATATTCATCTAGCTCGTGATTTCCTTAGTTGTGTAAGATCCACAAATTTCTAGCTAGTGTCTTACCATTCTTGAAGGTTTGTGCTCTACCATAAGGGAAACACAAAAGCATATTGGTGTCTCAAGAGGGGGTCTCCGGGAAAGAAGACGAGCCATGTTTGGTGAAATCTTGCTAAATCTTGGTTTCATATCTGTAACCCTATATATTTTCATATTTTTGCAATTGTTTTTGTGATTTTACTTTCAAGAGAAGTTATCAAATTTGTACCAAAGACAACATCCCCATTGGTTTCTAACTAATAATAGTTGTAGTTGAACTATGCTTGTCTTGGCCAAAAATATGTTGTAATAATCTTGTGTTGGTGTGCTGTTGCCTGTTCATGACTAGTTTCATTTTGTTATTATGTTACTTCTCGGCCATTAATTCATTGATTGAATTGCTTGTTTTGTTGTTTTTGTCGGCTGCTGGATCAAATAAGAACAGTTGACATTCTTAGTATTGAGCAATCGATTGTTAGTAGCTATTAGTTCTATATAATAACCCAAAATGGAACTTTTGGTAACTGTGGTAGTTTGGTGCACACCTCGACTAATCCCGACCATGGAGCCTGGAAAACTTCTAGTGGCCTTGAGGGGACTCGAATTGGTGACCACTAGGGAGCAAATCCAAAGCCTTACCCGTTGAGCTATCCCCTACATTAAAATAATTTTTTTTGGTGCCCAGTGATAAATTGATCTATGTCATGCAGTTCCCATCTATGAAACAAAGAATGAATATATGCTCATTGAGAATAAACATAATGTTGGGAATGTGTGCCGCAATAACAAATGCTAGCAAATGATTTCTAAGGCCCCAGAACAAAAAGAAATCCAAGGACACAACAAACCCAACAACAAATGCGGATAACAGTGATTTATATGTTGCACAATGACTCTATTGAAATAAACAACCCCAAATATAGATAATAACCATATTTAGAATCTACATGTATGACAAGTTCACAAAATAACAACACTAGAATTTAACGTGTTCCACTATCGGTGTGATAGTGTACGTCCAACAAAGAGAGAGAGCGCTTGATATGTTACCAACTGGGAATAGTTACAACGTGTTTACGAGATCCTTGTATACACGAATCAGCTACCTAAAGTTTCCTTAAAACTATATATATATATATAAAGTTTGACGAGAGGAAAACTAAAAAGGAAAGAAATCCTTTGTTGGAATTGTAGCGTCCATATGCATGCATATATATAGATAACAAAGTGGGCGGCAGCCCCTTTTCTCAAGCATGTTTTCAAGTTGGTAAATTGAAGACAAGTTGGTGATGCGAAGTTGTAGCCGCCAAATCATGTGGCTCTCAATTTGTTTCAACTTCCTGCATCATCACTTGTATACCTTGTGCTTGTTGATTTGTACAGCATCTCAAAATCAAGGTTTTTCAATACATAACACGACAATTCATTTGATAAGTAAACATCAATTTTTGTATATCTTCCTATTCTTACATTTATAAAAACACAGGCATTTCCACTAAAACTTGAATGCCATTAAAATAACTTGATGAAGCTAGTGAGAGCGAATATTGAGGAGAGAGACCCTTGTTTTCATCAAGGTCCTAAACATGCACTCCAAACGGTTCTGAATGACTTCAATGTGGGATTCTAGAGCCTCATCTGAGATTTGAGGATGATTTACACTCACTCTATTTCCTTTCCTGATCAAATTTGAAACGACAGACCATTTGGTAGACTTTGGTTTTGACAAAAATATGGATTCAAGCGAGAGGACGGATCCAAATACGGAAACACTCACTGCACTAGCATCTCTTAGTGATCTAATCACAGCTGAGAGATGGTCATCTAGATTTAAGAGTGCAATGTTGTCCCCAATTTTGTTATCAATTTTCTTTAGTGCTAAAATAGCTCTGTTGGCATCCTTCATTAATTTCCTGAGCGAGGAAGCATCCATGGTCAGATATGCTTTTTTCCTTCTAAGAGCGGATTGAACATTTTTGACATGTTCCCTTACTTGCTCCATGGCATCTTTTATAGAGCCACAGACATCCAAGAGCCTCATTGATCGATCCAACAATTCATCGACCAATTTCTCATCCTTGGTGAAAAGGGCTTGTTGGGTCAGTGGCAAATTGAGAAGATCATTAACAGATGTGTACAATCTTTCCAGTGCCGCTAGAGAGCCACAAACTGTATCTACAGTAGCAATAGAAGACGAAGATGTCTCCCATGTTTTGAGATAAGTGAGCTCCTCTTCAACTTGAAGAGTGCTAGGATGTGATTGGTTAGGCAAACTAATGGATCGAACATGGCGAACACTGGTGGATGATGAAGAGAAAGAGGCTGAAGCATCCATTTTGATATTTCTAAAAGAAAGATTTCAAGTGTTTGTGATGATATAAGAGGCTCTATGCTCAATGTATATATATGCAAAGTTAAGATGGTAAGAATCAATCACAATAATGAAGAAGCGTGTGCAATTTCAGATTTCGCTGACATTGTTTCCTGGTGAGCAAACATAGCTGTGGTGTTATTTATTGCCATTGGTTAAGGAGCAAGTGAGATTCCTTCTCTCACGTGTCTTGAATTGTTCCCCAGCCACCCCTTCTTTCATCTCTAAGGGCATGCAGCAGAGATATATCTGGTTTCTTGGTTTTGAGACCCCATCCATGTGGCCTACCTGTTTAGATCCTGTCTTTCATGAAAAACCATGAGTCTGTGCTTTTAACTAAATTAAAATATATCACCACATGATCCATTCATGTGCTACCATGATCTGTAAACATCGTTCACATGCATATTGCAAAGTTAGATCCTGAAAGTGAGAATTAATACACATATCAGTAGCTCGCAATCTATACTAAACAATTGCATAAGGTTATTTCTTTTTTACAAATCATATATGAAGGTCTTGAGGTCATCCTTGTTCGAAGTGGCAAATTACCATGACAAGAACTAGTATTTTATCTGATCTTAAGAGATGACATAAAATAGAACCTGCAAAAAAAATTACAAAAAGACAACTGGCACTGGAACTAAATCAGGAATTACAAATATTATTAGTCTTCATATGCATATATTTGCATTTTGAGCAAGGTTGCTAGTCTGAGGCAATGCATCATGCTTAGAAGAGGATAATTTCTAGAATTACAAGCAATGCATGCTTAGTTCTACTCCTAAGACTACATGTTGTCCTGTTCAATATATGTTGAAATCACCTACACTTTGTTCGATATGTACTGCCATTACATGCTTTCGCTAGAAGATAAAATGGGCGATTTTGTAGTTCATTAAGCTCTTTTAAGTTTTTATCACTTATCCCTTTTATAGTTATTGGTGAAAGCTAGGCAGCTGTAGAATAATATAATTTCTAGATGCTGGTGATTTTAGTGTTATTGTGATTGACATGAGATTGATAGGTGATAAAAGGCAAACATAAGTGAGTTAGGAGGTGGAGAGTGCACACTCACAAATATTGTCTTTATCACCTTAGATCTCTATAAGGAGGGGGTAAGGAGGCCAAGAGGTAGAGCCCTTGACGGTGGTCCCGAGGTTTATGGATTTTAAGAAGAAATAAATTTAAAAAATATTAGTTTCGGGATGATCTGGACGAATTTCAGAAGGTTGAAATTGTTGCGAAATTGGTAGAAATTTGACAAGTCTAGATCAGAGATAGAGCAATCAGAGCCTCTGGACCATAGAGTCAGAGCTCTGAACTGTGGAACCAGACGTTTGGACCGTGGAACTAGAGTTCTAGACGTTTCTTTTGATTCTGATGCAGTTGTAATTGCTCTAAAATCTTATATGTTAACAGCTATAACCATGTTTGATTCTGATATAGTTGTAAGTGGCGTAATATGGATTTAGGACGTGGAGATGGAGTTGCGAGATCTCTCCCTGTTATGCTTGTTGTTGAACACCTAAAATAATGAAGAAATGAAAATGTTGGGAGCATTTAGATGAGGCAGATGGATGGTTAAGACAAATACGATGAAGGTCGGGAAACATGGAAGTATCTAAGCATAAGCTATGGCCATGGATGATTATGCATAAACCTATATGTGGGCAATTAGTTATCTGGAGCAAAAAAATTGTCTTCGACCTAGTTAGTCTTCAATTCAAAGATAACTAAAATTGTTGCGGTTCAATGAAAACGTTCTGAATGTGGAGGATGGAGCTTTTATAAATCTATCAGCTTGATCGCATATGCAGATTGATGGATATATCATATGTGGAGTTGATTTCCTTCAATGGAATTGATATCCAGGTTGTTGTTCCAAGGCTTTGTTCGTGTTTATGTTATGGGGGGAGAAGTCTTTGTTTGCTTTTCTTTTTGTATACTTTCTATCCTTTGTTTTTCTTATCCATACATTTTTGCCTTTTCTCCTGAAAGGAATTTAAAATAGCTCATGCCCCTGGATGGAACCTTATTGAGTTAGGATCAAATATTCACTATGCGAATCAGATGATGACCCATGGCCTAACGGGTTGAAACCTATTTGTCCATGTATCAAAATTTGCTGTAAAGATCTAGATTAAGTTTTCATTTTACTCGGGATGGAAAGAATCCATGGTCGAAGGGACCAACAGGCTTGGAAGTCGTCTCGTCATATAAAACTTTACAACTGTGCTGTGTTTTCAAGTTAACCACGAAAATCCAATTCAGAACATATTCGAACACAAATAGAAAGGCGAGTCACTTTATAATCGTCAAAAATGTATCATTGTATATCTTCTATATCTGCTATGTACTGAAATATACATGGCTATAGAACTGTACATCACTAATTAATGTTCTACATCTGGCAAGAATTAATCCCACTAGTGAGATAGAATATTTAGGAGGGAGGCCCTTGTTCTGATCAACCTCCTAAACATGCACTCCAAACCATTCTCTATGGCTTCAATGTTGCATTCTAAAGCCTCAACACAAATTTGAGGTTGATCTTTACTTCCTGCTGTTCCTTTCTGAATAAATTTTGAGACTATGGACCATTTAGTTGTTGACTTGGGCTTGCAAATAGACAGAGACAAATACGACAAGAGCAATCCAAAGATAGAGATGCTGACTTCGCTAACGTCTCTCATTACTCTGATCACCGAACAGAGATGCGGCTCAAGATTCATGGGTTTTGAGGCGTAAAGGTGATCAATTTGCTTCAAATCTGCAACACCTCTTTTGGCATCCTTCTTCAGTTTCTTAAGGAAAGAAGCATCTATGATGAAATCCCCCTTTCTCCTCCTTAGAGCAGATTGAACATCTCTTACATGTTCCTTGACTTGTGAAACTACGTCTCTAACAGAGCCACAGACGTCCAAATGCCTCATTGATCGATCCAGCAACTCATCAACCAACTTCTCATGTTGATGCTGGGAAAGGGCTTGTCGGGTAAGTGGCAAACTGAATAAACTGTCAACACATGTGTACAATCTTTCCAGACTTGCTACACCACTGCAAACAGTTTCTGCATCAGGAATACATGGAACAGCAGTCTCCCACCGTCTGAGATTGGTCAGCTCCTCTTCGGCTTGAAGTGTGCTGGGGTGCGATCTGGTTGGTAAACTAATCGATCGAATGGCATGATGATTCCTGGATAAAGAAGAAGATGACGAGAAAGCCATTCTTTTCGTTAAGACGAATTTGGCCAATTTCCGAAATATTTTTTGGGATGATAACTAAATTTTCTTTTCCTTTCTATTTATACAAACCCAAGTTGGCGTAGATTAATCATGAAATTGTGAGGAGCATGTGAAACCGCATGTGCAATCCTTTCAAACCGCTGAACTTGCATCCGAATCAGCCTACATATTTCTGATCTCATCGGTGGCATTTGGTAACACTGAAGCAAAGAAACTAACGTGACAAACAAGACTATTTAATTAATGCAAGCACACGTATGGCTTGTCTCGTTATTAAGGCTACCTGAAGATACCGCGTAGACGTTTCTTAGTTTAATGGTTACACGTACGTGAACGAATATAATACGATTTCTGCAATTATAATACACGTTAATTACACGAATCTCCAAATCATATCGGAGTGAAACTTCATAATGCAAAGAGATACTCTCCTCTCTTCCCAAGAAAAAAATATGGAGTTCGTTCCTAATCGTTTTCTTGGAACTTTTCTTTCAAAAGTTCCATTTTGGTGTTTATCACAAGATATCTCCAAGTTAATACTTGGATCCAAGTAGGGGTGCTTAAAAACCCGACCAACTCAACCGAACCCAACACGAAATAACTCAATCCGAAACAACCCGATGTCTAATCGAGTTGTAAAATTGTCAAACCGTAGGTATTTGGTTGATATTGGGTTACTATTATTTGAACCCAACCCAACCCGATAAACATGATATCATTTTATTTCTTGGATTTAATATGATTGTTGAATTTATATTAATATGTACATTAGACAATTACACTATCATGTATGCTCTTCATATACACATATTTTTAATCTATTCATATCTTTATATAACTCATTCGTATATATGTTTAGTAAGTGTGAACATATATATGTAAATTGAGAAAATTAACTGAATGTGATATACGTAAGAAGTATGAATAAGTTGTATCAAAGTTGATGATGAAAAAGAAATTATGAGTAGATAAATAACATATTTCAGGTTAGAAGGATATTATAATGTACCAAAGTATCAACCTAACTAACCCGACCAACCCGTACGGGTTGGGTTGGGTTGCACTTTGCTTCGGGTTGGGCTGGGTTAAGATTTTTCAAACCGCAAGCATTAGGTTAGGTTGTTCAAATGTCTTCAACCCGATCAACTCAACCCATGAGCACCCCTACTTCCAAGTGTATCAAAGAATTTGTGCGTTCTCAAATGTAACTTTTGAAAGTTGATTTTTCAAAATAAGAACCAGAACAAAGTAAGTTTAATTCATATTGATGTAATTTCTCATATTTTAAACAACCCTAAGTATTGATCTTTTAGTATAAAATGGGGGAAATTGTATGAAATGCAACATACCTTGTTTTAGTTCTTATTTTAGGTAAATCTTGATTTTGGTACCTAAGTTGAAAAATAATGAACTTTTAAGTACCTGAGTGATCGGTTTTACAGGTTATCATGCTGACATGACAAACGAAGTGATATCCAATTCACTATTAGTTGTTGACGTGAACGATGATGTGGATATTTATACTATGTAAAATTAATATAAAAGTATTATTATTTTACTTTCTTCAATTTAACAGGTGCAGGTGGATTTGTTTTGAAATTTAATTTATTTACCCTCAATTATATTAAAGAAATTATAAATATTACATTTAAAAAATATAGATTTATACTTTTTAACACATTTTTTACATGTAAAGGTAAATAGATATGCAATTTTTTTGCTTAATTAAAAAAAATACATATTTTAAAATAATGATGTCGAGTATTTTTTGTTCAGTTGACATTAAAAAATAATTAAATCAACCATAATGGTGGTGCCTGATTGGTTTGAGCATGCCTCCAAAGGTCAAAAGTAGCAGAAGGTCACAGGTTCAAATCCAAGGAGGAATAAAAATCCCCCAGTGGCCACGGAGGTTCAAACGCGGTGACTCCTAACTATTTACAAAGTAGGTGGTCGTCCTGAAATTAGTCGACTCGCATAGCGGGTTGGATATCCAGATTAATAAAAAAAAAACACATCATCAAAAGCCTAATCCTAATTAGTATTTACAGGTCATTAGGTAAAGATAGTACTTGAAAGTTTAATATTTTACAACTGAAGTGCTAAAAGTAAAGAAAACGTGTTACTTAAAATAAAAATTAGATTAAAGTACGTTACATTTTGATGCAATTTATCATATAAGTTGAGTATTATTTTATAAAGTTACAACTAATTAATGGTTGTTGTCTAAGATATGGGAATCCTCCTAAATGAGAATCTGCTAATCTTCACCTAATTTCGATAATGTTGTGAAATATTTTATTTTAAAAACTGTTGCATCATATTTAATCACCTCAAAATTGAATCTTGCTGGCTCACAAATGTTCAAACCTGTTAGCAGTTTTAGATTAATTTTACACTACAACTAATAAGATCAAGACACAATCATCATCATCAATTATGAATCACAATTTCCGATGACCTAATCTTTAGTGATTCTTGCATCTTTTTTTTTGAGAGTGCTAACGACACCTTTTAATAGGGGATGTTGATTGCTTAAAAGTTGTGTAATTCTAAAACATCAAATCGATTTAATAATATATTTTATTTAATTATCATTATTATTTAATACATATATATATATATGTTAATTAAGTTATGTTTTATATATATATATATATATATACTTTACGTATATTTTACATATATATATATAATATTTTTTATTTATAATTTTATTATCTTCACTTAATAAACTCTATTCATATTCCATAAATATTCAAATCATAATAAATGAACTCCAATCATTTCTATAAATATCTCAATTAATTGGGTTGCAAAGGTTGTACAAATGCACAAGGTTGTAAAAGAAATATATCCTATATATATATATATATATTATATTACATATATGTATTAGTATTAAAGTTTCATTATAATTATTTTAAAAGACCTAAAATAATTTAACCCAAAAGTTAATTTTTATAAATAATTAGTTACTTTAATGGATGAGATATTTATAAAAACCATCTGTATTGAATTTAATTAAGAAAAAAGTTCAAAAAATTAAAGAAATTATTCTATTTTGAATTATTAAGTTCTTTAACTTTTTTTTATTGAATAAGTTGTTGAACTCTTTTTATGTTAAATGATTAAGTTGTTGCATTTTTTTTGAATAATTAAATGATTGAGTTTTTTTTGAAAATTGATTACTTAAATTATTTTAACTTTTTTTTAATAGTATAATTTAAAAGTTATTTTTATAAAATGACTTGAAAAATGTAATCACTTTTATAAAAAGCAGTATTTCAAATTTTTTGGTTTATTTTAATATTCTTAAAATAATGTAATTAAAAGATTATGAATAAAATAATAAAAAAATCAATATCATGCAATTCACAAAGTTATAGTTATTTATAAAAAAATCATCCTTACATATATTTTTTAATTAATAAATCATCAAACTTTTAAAAATTGTTTACTTGGATCATTTAAACCCAAAAAAATGCTACATATTGTTGTAGAAGAGGAAGAATCAAAATATATTTTTTTGATCATTTTTTTGGGGCCTTGCCATTGATGTCCTTCTTTTTGATATTTTTTTGATCTAGTTATATATGTTTCATTATATTGTTGTATAAAAGAGAGAATCGAAAGACAAAAACAGATAAAAATAGGAAGACCCCTTAGACGTAGTTGTTCGAACGCATCAATATTTATTGACTTAGATGAAATGAGTTATTAGGAACTAGCGAGACGGTTTTTTTTAGAATAAGTGAAATATAATATAAATTATTTACGTTTTATTTGTATATATATTTTTTGCTTTTTATGTTTTTACTTATATTTTAAATCTCAATGTTTATTAGAAAAAATAATAATGTCTATATAAAAGTAAAAAAGTTAAGGAAAAAAACCTAACATATTATTTATTATTGATATTTATATTAATTGAAATAATATGGTTAAATATTATAAAATACATATTAAAATATAACATATATACAATAAAAAATATATATTTATTAATAACCTGTATTAATCAAAATATAATATAAATAAACATAAAAAAACAAAATAAAAAATTTATATTAAATTAAAATTTCTTTAAAAATAAATTAAAATAACAATAAGATAAAAACATAATAATAAGAAAAAGACAAAAAAAACACTAAAAACCATAAAAACAATAATGACTAAAATAGTTTTATGGGTGTCAATGGCAATGAATAGGGGTGCCATTAGCCTCCCTTCTTTTATGATTGTGATATTATCTTAGAATAGTTATTCTATTCTAGAATTAGTCTCAAAAATTATATATATATATATATATATATATATATATATATAAAGATAGAGAGTTTGTTTCAAATACAACTCATTACATTTGTACAACCAATGCAACCCAATAAATTAAAATATTTATGGAAATGATAAGAGTTCATTTATTATGATTTAAATATTTATAGAAGATGAATAAAGTTTATTAATTATGATCAATATTTTATATTAGGAAACAATTAAAACTTTTATGAAATTACATATTCATCAAATTAAATGGACGGTTGAGATTGAGTTGTATTGGTTATACAAATGTAAAATGTTGTATAATAACTCACCTCTATATATATATATATATATATATATATATCAATACTCGTTATTTGTTAACATTTAATAATACTCACAACTTCCTACAACTATCAATCTTCTAAATGGTATGAGAGCTTAGACCTACATTTTTTTCCTCTTCTTCCGGGCCATGATATTTTCCTCCTAGCATTCTCAAATAGCAAATCAAAGCAACTCTCTTAACCCACTAAACCTTTCACATTTATCAACATCATCAACTCCGTTGAACTCATACTAACAAATTACCTCTCTTGGAAACGAGGCCATCTTCATTGGCCATGATCTCCAAACTTGCTTTGATGGCTCAAAATCTTTTCCACCAAAAGACTCTTCTTATCAACAAAGTTGACACTCCTAACCCAACATACCATACATGGGTTCGGCAACATAAACTACTCTTCGCTTCGATTGCTACATTCTCTCCTACTCTTTCCCTCTTCTCTCACAAGCCACTACCACTAAAGAGGTGTGGGACATCCTCGCCCAAACCTAGTTGTTTGAACTGCTCTATGGTTGACTACATGCAGTCACTGAAGA